GGGAAGGTTTAAGTTGGACATCAGGAGGCGCTACTTCACGGTCAGGGCGGCTAGAGTCTGGAACCAGCTTCCAAGTGAGGTGGTGCAGGCTCCCACCCTGGGGGTTTTTAAGAGGAGGTTGGATGACCACCTTACTGGGGTCATTTGACCCCAGTGCTCTTCCTGCCATGGCAGGGGGTCGGACTAGATGATCTGCTCACGTCCCTTCCGACCCTAGAAACTATGAAACTATGAAACTATATTATTTTTTTCCCATCAAGGTATTTCAGGCGAGTGGGTGGGGAAGACAGTGATTAGACAAGCCAGTGCTGAGAAGGCACTGTGCTCACAATTTGGTGCATTGGCTGGGAAACCCAAAACATCATCTGCCAGATGAAAACTAACATATCCAGATAACCTACTGGTGAGGTTAAGCAAAAAATGAAGCAAGTTGGTGCAGATTTGGGAAACCCCGAAGATTGGCAACAGGCCCTTGGGATTATGTTATGTTTGCTCCAAAATCAACAGGTGCAAATGGAGGAATTAGTGAGAATTAGAGCCCAAGAGGCCAAGGCCCAAATTCTGATTTTATCATGACAGCAAGAACTGAGTGAAAAATAGAGGCTCGGCAGATAACCATGATGTGGATGAGGGAAGGAACTAGACTGCCAAAAATGACACCAGAGGACATTGTTAAGGCACTTCTAGAAGCTTTGAAAGGGCTGATCTTGTAGCTGGATGAGATCGATCTGAATGGGCAGGCTAATTGGGTCCGTTATTAATAGTTCCAGCACAAGCAGCATATCAAGCATTGTCATGAGTCGATGCTATGGAGTATGAGAAGGTAGAAAGGACAATCCTGTATTATTTGGAGATTTCACTGGAGTACTATCGGCAACGTTTCTGAGCTAAAAAGAGCAACGACCCCGGCTACTGGCCCAAGTCCCAAGGGATTTATTAGAGAAATGGATTCAGTCGGAAGGCAAGTCAGTGGCTGAAGTCTTGGATATTATTGCTCTGGAACAGTTCCTTACTGACCTGGGTGAGGAGACGCAAAAGTGGATGCAGAGACACCAACTGCAATCAGTGAAGGAGGCTTTATGGGTGGCTGAGACTTTTATGGTTGCAAAAAGAGACAAACTGAGAAAAATTAGCAAAAGGAAGTAGCATCTCGGTGGGGTGAGGGGAGTTAGGAGGAACTAAGTTGCAAAGTTTAGAGTCACCTCAAGGTCCTAAATGCAGGAGTTAAAAGTTTGGGACACTAAAGAAATCATGTGTTATTGCTGTGGAAACCAGGGCCACATTGCTAGGTATTGCACCCAGAGGACATGGGGAGTATGAGTGGTATAAACACCGCATGATGAAAAGATGTACTGTAGCTTTGGTTGGCATAGGGGACCCTCATGCCTCCCCAAATTGGTGGTGGATGTGAAAATAGGTGACCTGTTAATCCCAGCTTTTGTCAACACAGGATGTACTCAAACCATGTTAAAATCTTTTTTGGTTCTGCCACACATAGGTGAGAAAGACACCCCAGTTAGTATGATTTGCATACACGGGGCGTCCTACACATATCAGAGAAAGCTCATTATGCTGATCATTATGGGAAGAACCAAAGAGTTGTCTATGGGTCTGGCTAAAACACTGCCAATGCTATTAGGTGTAGATTGGTTGTATCTGTGAGAGGTACTGGATCAAACCATGGAAAAGACACCACATCAATCTATTGACAAAGAAACAGTGGATACTCAAACACAAGGTTTCACCAGGGTAGAAACTGATCCCTCATCCAAGGAAGAAGGCCTTGATGAAACCATAGATCTAGAAGAAATCACTGGTGATGGTCAGTTCCTCAAGGAACAAGCTTGGGAGCCTGTCTTCCACTGTATATTCAAAGAAGGACTAGTCAGGCAAGAAGGGGAAGTGGTGAATCCTGGACTGGCAGATGCATACCCTTAGTTTGAGGAAAGGGACAGCATTTTATATAGGGTTGAGCATGGATGGGGAGTAGGGGAAGAGTTGGTGCAAATTCTGGTTCCACAAAAGTTTCAGAAATTACTCCTTTGGGTGGCCCATACTC